TGTTGATGTATTTTTTAACGTCTGTATCAGCAAATGTTGGCCATGTTGAAAGCTCATATGTTATGAAAAGATCATTGACTTGAGCAAATATTTCCAATGAGATAGAAAGGTATGAAAAATGAAAATGGAGAAGCAGTGGAAGTCGAGCTGACTATATAATTGCTTCGTTCATCAGGCAGTTGCTTTAGGGTCCTGTTGGTGAACAAATATTTACTCATCAAGAATGGTTTCAAATACTTAATTTTCTTAATCATGCGTCACATGACAGTGTGTTCTTTGTTAAGCTACATCATGGTTGCATGGAAAAAGATGGTCCCCATGCAAACCATTCGATCCAGGGTTTAATTCCTCGAGATCTCGGCTTCGAGTTTGGCATTTCGTATGTCGATGATGATTGAAAATATTTCTTTAAGGTTCCTAGCAGTTAGTTTCAATCATACTGTTAGGGCTATGAAGCTGTTTTTCATATCAATTTTTGTTTACTTGATGACATTAAATAAAGAGGCTCAACTTACGTATATTACCCTTATTCCCGGTGTTACTGGGGGTTATCATTTCCAGTCAGGGTGAACTAAGTTTTCATCTATTTGGTTTATCATGTGCATTTCATCTACAGCAACAAGAATTCCAGGAACCTCCTTTTATACATGGATCTTATAGCTGATGTGTTTCTACTTTCTAAAATGTTCATTACAGAAGAAAACATGATTGATATCACATTTTCCTTGCTCAAGATGATATCAAGATCAGTTAGTATCTCTTATTTAATTCAGCATTAACATACTTTGTGAATTTGACTAACTTTTTTGTCATGAAACACACCAGCATCCCATTTGTATTTCCATTGAGTTTTGGTCTCAAGTGGCCTTGTGACATCATAAAAAAAGTTCTGAATGCTATGAAAGAGCTTCCTTGACCAGAAATCTAGGAAGAAGTCACATGAAAGGAAAAATGTGTTGTCAAATGTTTTACGAACATCTGAGCAGAAACCACATGAGATGATGAATATGTTATCAAATGTTTTACGAACCAATTATTCTGATGCTGAACTAATGTTGAGATTATATGGTATTTCTATTTATTGATCCAAGATGAAGTCTTCTTCAACCCAAGGTTTGAAGTGCAATATGATGAAGATTTCTTTCCACAGAAGGGAAGTAGAAATTCTAACAACAAGAAACTAGTGGAGCCAACTAAGGTTGAACAATAGGTTGTTGTTAAACATCTCGACATAATATGGTCCAAGTTGCCTTGTTCGAGATCTAATTAGATGTGGAGACATGAAAGGAATTAGGATAAGTCCTCCTTATGATGTGTTTCAAGAGTCAAATCAGAACAGAAGCTGATCTCTTAATCAATTTGCTGAGTCAGGCATATCTACATCTACATTCTTCAAAGATGATAGATTCTCTCTTCAAAGATAGTAGATTCTCTTTTCAAAGATGAAAGCTTTATTGGATTTCTACACAAGTACAAGCAAAGAAAGCCAGTGTTATCCATGATAAAATGGGGGCAACAAGACCATAATTCTGACAGCAGCAAGAATTTCGTGAATGAAACATTTCTTCTGAGACTTTAACGTAAATGAAGCACAGAGAATGTAGAGTCTCTTAAAAAAAGAGAATGCCAGCTTGAAATGATATTTTGATAAAGTGAAGGAAGACCGAGTTCACCACTTTGAAGTTAAATAAAGATTGCATCAACATTCATACATTCATAAAAACATCAATTGCACAATAGACAATGTATTACATTGATACATTTGATTGCAATCAAACATAAGGTTTTGCAGATATTCGTATGAAAAAAAGATACCATAAAAGAAGAAGGTAGAATTCAAAACCTCAAATACAGGAATCACACAAACATATAAAAGAATAGATGGACGTAATCCACAGAAGAAACATTTTTTGAAATGGGGCATGTTACCCAATCAACAAGTTATTTCAATGAGAAAACGATTTCCAAAGTTTCTCATTTAATCTTTTCTAAAAATGAAATTGTTGAATAGTAAGAAAATGATTTCCATAGTTTCTTACTTAGTAAACTATTTCCCACATCTGTAAGCCCTTCAGTGCAAGATGTTTTCAAAACCTTCGGGTCATTCATAAGACCTCTGGGCAAAATGTTTTCAATATTTCCAGAAGAGTTCATAAATAGAAGAACTCATCTGAAGAAGGAAGAAGAAGTTCATAATGAGAAGAACTTGTTCAACCTTTTGCTTTAATTCATCACTCGATGGATTAGCATTGCCAGTTAGAGTTCATAATGAGAAGAACGTATCTGAAGAAGGAATAAGAAGTTCATAATGAGAAGAACTTGTTCAACCTTTTGCTTTAATTCATCACTCGATGGATTAACATTGCCAGTTAGAGTTCATAATGAGAAGAACTCATCTGAAGAAGGAAGAAGAAGTCCATAATGAGAAGAACTTGTTCAACCTTTTGCTTTAATTCATCATCCGATGGATCAGCATTGCCAGGTAGAGTTCATAATGAGAAGAACTCATCTGAAGAAGGAAGAGGAAGTTCATAATGAGAAGAATTTGTTCAACCTTTTGCTCGAATTCATCACTCGATGGATTAGCTTTTCCAGAGAAATTTCGTAATGAGAAGAACTTATCTGAAGAGGAAGAAAAAGTTCATAATGAGAAGAGCTTGTTCAACCTTTTGCACGACTCTATCACAGAAGGAGATAGATCAGCATCAATATTTCCAGAAGTGTTCATAATAAAAAGAACTCATCTGAAGAAGGAGAAGAAGTTCATAATGAGAAGAACTTGTTCAAACTTAATTTGATTCATCATATATTGAAGTTGAATCAACAATAGCTCTTTTGAAGATCTTATCACAGAAGAAGATAAATTGTCATTCCCAGTAGAAAAATGGAAGAGTTCATAATGAGAATAACTAATCCCAAAGAAGAATTTGTTCAACATTGCCATCATAATCAAGTGAAGTCAAATGAAAAAAACTTATTGTCTTTTCGTCTTTGCCCTATTCTCATTAACATAAGAATGAGCAAAGAGGAGCAGCTGAAGACGCTAGTTTTTTTCAATTTGTTTTTTTTATTTTTAGTTTATTTGTTTATTATTATTATTATATTATTATTTTTTATTATTAATATTATTATTATTATTACAAACAGGCCCAGTTACACGACCCAATTATAAATTGATGGCCCATTTATAACCCGAAGCCCAACAGTGACCGGCCCAAATCCAGCATCCTAAAGGAAACCTTAAACTATTTAGGGTTTATGTCTCAGCCATCAATATCAACAATCGTTGGATCTGGCCCCCAACGCCTCTTCCAGGTGGTCCAACGCCTACTGCCGACACGCCACCTCACCGTCGAAGCCTCTAGAAGAGCCATCTGCCCCCCACGTCGCAGCTACAAGGTGAGTCACCACATAGTTCGGTGACTCACCGAAAAAACCCTCTTAGGACCAGACCGATGGGAGCTCCGACGAGGCCTATAAAGCTACTAAACCTGCAAAATAAAAAGGAGACCAACAGAGCAAGAACTACGAAAATGAGGGAATACTAAACAGAAAACAAGAAAAAAAAGACACAACAATACCGAACGAACCAAAAGCAACCAACAGTAGCAAACGAGAGGAAAAACTTACCTGTTGGCACGGTGGAAAGAAAACGATGCTGGAACCATCGTTTAATCGAAGGTAAAATCCTTCGGTTTATTTTGGATCTAGGGCTATCTAGGGGTTATTAGAAAAAACGAGGCCTGGATTTAGAACAAGGGAGAACCGGGCTTCGATTTGGGAGAAATTTTGTACGGTGGCCGGCGGTGGTGGTCGGCGCCGGATCGCGGTTGCCGGACGGAACTCCGGTGGAGTTTTAGAGAGAAGTCATAGAGAAAAAATTTTCTCTTAGTAGGAGAGAGAAGCTAAAATGGAAAAATGAGAGAAACGGATCAAGGGAGTCGGTTTTTAGGGTATTTATACCCTCATCAAAACAATTGATAAGGGATCTGAATGTAATTTCAGAAAGGTTAAACCATATACGCAATCCCTCTGTATTTTGTAGTTTTACGTTTTAGTCACTGAAATTACATTTCTAAGCATATTAATATTATCTTCGAATTTATTTAATTATATTATAGTCATTACCTATATATATTTATATATTTAGGGTAAATATTAGGATTAGTCCCTTATAATTTTATTAAATTTATTTTAATCTTGTGTTAATTATTAGGGTAAATTACACTTTTAATCACTTATATTTCATAATATTTTGAATAAAAGATTTTAATTTTAATATGTTATAATTTAATCACTATTTATAAGTTCTATTAATTTTTATATTTTGCATTTTAATCCTATTATTTTAATTTTATTTGTTTAGACATTGTTTAGTTATTTTAATTTTATATGTTTATTTCAATATATTTAATTATCATTATTCTTATTTAGTCATAAATATATTATATATATATTTATTATTATTTTATTCATTTTCTATTAAAAAAAATCATATTTATAAATTTAATTTTATATAAATTACTTTTAGGAAAAATAATCATATTTTAAATATTTATTTATTTTTTAATATTAAGAAAATGGTTGTCTTAAAGCAACTAGAAGTCTTTTTATGATATTTCTAAATAACTAAATATTCTACTTTTATAAATTATATATATATTAATTTAATTTATTTTAAATATTTTTAGAGAAATGTTTTATTAATATTTATTTATTTTTTAATATCAAGAAAGGGGTTGTCTTAAAGTACCTAGAAGTCTTAAAATTATAGTAATAAATTTGAAATAACTATATTATAAATTAAATATATCTTTGAATTTTGAAATTTCTAATAATAGAGACAATTTTATAATTAATGAGTATCAATTTTTGGCGTTATAGGGGTGTTAATCATTCCCTAAACGTAATCGACCACGAATCCCTTTTTTACTAAATATGAGACATGATCATATTTCACGCAAAGAGATGTAAATAAGTTGGTTAAGGAGAAGACATACCAGAATGACAAAAGCAGAAGAAATGTAGCAAATAATAGAATTCTGGGGAAGGCTGCAACACACATATTTGCGCTGGTTAATGCTTGAACTAATCTGCTGCAGTGAAATAAATAAGTAGGATCTTATTACAAACATTTACACATAACCCTGGCTACGAAACCACAAGAGTATGACCAGCATAACCATTCTCGGCATGCAGCAACAGGACTCAAGATAAAATAAATGAAGTAACCTGCAGGTAGGTGATAATTTGGCAGTTCAGTTTGAATTCTAGATGTGATTCAAAACAACCTAAGCATTGAATACAAATGCATACCAGTAATAGTAAATCCAATCAGTATATGGAACACCTGTCATAAGTCATAACATCCATTTGGGTCAAGAACAAGAATATACACTTAGAAATAGAAATCAACATAGAAACTTACATGTACCATGATTAGAAAATAAAACATGTTCAACCATCGTTTACTTTACATAGCACACAAATGCATGGACCTTGATAACATCGATTGGCTTCAACCCCAAGTCCACCTTCTGCCTCAACTGGACTATGGATAAGTTTGATTATTTCTGTTCTTCGTTTCATGGATTCCAGAATGATTTAACTACATTTTTACTCAATTAGGGTTCCTAGTTTCCTAACTTGGTTACTATACGACTTGTTGAAAATTTTTGGTAAATATTTAATGTTTCGTTGCACTTTCCTTATCGGATACAAAAAATACAAGAACAAAGAAAGCATAGGAGTGCAACCGTGACTTTTCTGACAGGGATTAAGGCATACACAAGAATTCTTCCGATGATTGCAAGAAGTGCAGAAATTACAACAGCAAGCAGTACACTTGTTAAAACATTGAATTCCTGGGAATGTTGGTTAAAATATTTTCTACTTCAAGGCGTACTATCAACTCCGAGGCCCAAAAGTTTTTAGCTAACGCGTGCAGCAGCTGCAACTAAATTTGAACCTACCAGTTTCTCCAAGTGCAAGCAGTGTCAGAAGGATCACAGACATTCCTTTGTTCAGACAACCCACCAAGCCCTGCCTTAAAGGGTCAGGTGACACGCATAGATCAGATCAAGGTGTTAGTCCCCACTTGACCAGCTGGTCAGCTGACATTGTGTTAAACTAGCTAGCCTATGAATTAATTTACATTCAAATGGAGATCCTTTAACTAAAAAGTCGAAGAAAAACAACATAACACTTGCCTTTTGGAGAGTCCATCCAAGCTGTGTATTCCTTGAGTGAATACGTGCTAGCTGACCACAGAGTAAATGGTCGTTACAAACAACAAAACAGAAAGAAAGGATATGAACTAACCTCCCATAACAATGAGTAACATTATACTAAAGATAGTCTGATGTACGATATTATCCCAGGTGATACTGTCTACAAAAAATGACATACATCTACCAGCAGATATGCATATCTAGATCCAACACAGATTCCCAGACACCCATCATGATGTCTAAGGATTTCAAATTCACCGCTCTGATACACGTAAAACCAATTTTGTGATCCAATACTAAGTACATAACGATAAGTTTTTCGCAACAAAAAAGACATAAATATATATAACAAGTTACATGGATATAATGCAATGCAAAAATTGCAGAACTTGAACACGTCATTGTTAAAATAGAATGGTAAGCAAACTTCAAGGAAGTCAAAAGCTACGGTAGCTCGAACCAGAAGTGTACTGAAACAAACATAGTTTTAATATTATAAGTTTGAACTCATTAATAGGTTTTAATATTAAAAGAAAATATTATCTTTATATAAATTTGAATAGTTTTTGTACTGTAAAGTATATATACGTTATTAACGTCTAAAATATATTCTGAATATATACAATCTTATCATCCATTAAGTTTATCCAAAAAAATCATATAACTATGACAAAGATTTTATTAGATATTGACAATTAAAGTTAAATTTATAAATTTAAAAAGTCAAAAGTAAATAAATTCTTATGACTGTGTACTTCTTGTGCTTGATTTGCCATGCGATGTGTGTGAAATTTATCTTAATATTAATATTGGCATCCGATCTTGGACTGCTAACGAATAAAAGTTGGAATTTGTTTATTACTCATATAATAAATTTTTAATATACGTATGGACTGAAGGTTACATACTTTTAATTTTAAATTTCAAGTCCTAACCTTAAAATTTTAACTTTTGAATGTTACTCTAAATTCTAAACTTTAGTTACATAGTGTATCAAATATTTGTTTACTTATATATAGATTATTATTTGAAGCATAAATTGTTTATTTTACACAACATATTAAATTATAAAATCTAAAACTCTAATAAGAGACGTCGGAACTAAGATACCAACTCAAGGAGGACAAGATATAATTAATCATAAAAAATTAATAGTAAAATAGAATTAACTATAGAAAATGGGGAACAAAATCAAAATAAATCAAAAATTAGGAACTCTAATTTAATATATTATATCCATATATTCTTTAATAATATGTAAATGGGAGGAGAATCACCCCAAAACCAAGTATAATTTACTCCCTTACTCTAACCAATAAAGCTAAACCCTTTCCTTTTAAACTTTTTTTTTGGGATAATTATTCCTTTTAAACTTTGAATTCTAAACATAAACTATAAAGTCTAAACCTCAAATGGTGAATAAAAATTCCTAAAAACATATTTATATAAATTAAATTCGCACGACATGTATATCAGATACTTTTATTTTTATATATAATATTAATTAGGGTAAATTATGCATTTAGTACTTAAATTATCAGCTTTGTATTGTTTTAATATCTAAAGTTTTATTTTTTTAAAACTATACCTAATGTTTCATTTTTGTTTCATTTTAATATCCCACCGTTAAAAACATAACGGACGAGCTTGGAGGCTTTTGTGTCTACAGTCATGGGTCGCATCTGTCAACTGATAAAGGCCAAACTTTTTGGCTTGCACTTTTTGATCCCATGAGCGCAATTTCGGACTCCGTTTCTTCGGAAAACGCTTCAATCTCTCCAAATCGACGATGTGCTCTTCAGTTTCTTCATCCTTCTATCTCTGTCGTTAATCGTCCGATGGACCTAAAACTGGACTACGTTGGTCGATTCGTCATTCTCCCCTTGGTCCGTCGTTCAGATTGGCCGTCCCTTTACCGGAGCTATTTGTCATCGGCCTGTCCGTTAAATTTTTAATAACGAGATACTAAAATGAAACAAAAAATAAACATTAAGCATAATTTTGAAAAAAATAAAATAAAAAATAAGATAATAAAACGGATCAAAACTAATAGTTTAAATACTAAAAGCATAGTTTACCCTATCAATTAATATTTTAGTTGTGGAATTGTTTTACTCTACACGATTAAAGATCGTCAGTTTTCTTATCTATATAGTCATATTATATGTAGACAATATAGGTTTTAAATTACGCAAGCGGAAGTAAGAAATCATCAGATACATCACACGTCTCATTTATTTGTTTTTGAATATCAATTAAAAAGGTGTGATAATTTATTCGTAAAATTAAAACACTCAATCGTTTACATACCAAATAATCATCAAATGGTTAAAAACACATGATAATTTCTCAATTGAATATAAGTTGATATTCAGAACCATCAAGAGATATTAGAGGCAAAATAATGAAAAACACAAATTCTAGTTAATACTAAAATGAATGCATACAAAGTCCAACTCAGTTCCCAATGCATACCAAATAGATGTCATTGCCAGGGCGTTTGCTGTTAGCTAAGCCAACTCCTGCAAAGGGGACTTAATGATCAAAAAGGAACTCCACGAAAGCAGGTAATCAACGCGGGTTTTTAATATATTCTTAACTAATTTCAATTTGATCATTGGAATTTCTTAATTCTACAAATAGAATTAAGAAAATCTTCATATATATAATTTATTTAATTTGAAACCATATATTAATTCAAGAGATAATATAATTTAAATAATGGAAATCACATGAACAAGAATTCCAGTTCATACTAAATCCAACATTGCCTGTAAATCAGTAGTGGCGTTAATGATCAACTCGTTGATTTCATGTATCATTTTTCTGTGCAAGTACTAAACTTTGTCGAGGGTTTATTTAGTTTATCATTTGTTGTGTAATGTTGACTAATTGCTTTCTTGTATCATGTTGCTGTTATAGATCACACTTTCGTGCTTTTAGACCCAAAACTACTGCTCAAAAATATAAGGCCAAATATAAACATTTTAAACTGAGAATTGTAGAGCCTATTCAACGAGGAATGGCTTTCCAAAAATAGGCGTATGCCGAGCACATGATATTCTTTAGTAAAAGGCGGCTTTAAGCTCAGTGCGCAGCTCCGTAAATCAAATCATCGAGTTTGCGCTTATTTATAGGTTCTTTTGTGGACCACATGCTTCTATCTTAAAGATGTGGGATTCTTGTCTTTCCTGCTTCTGTGACTCTTCTACAGCAAGCTCCCATCTTCTGCTAAATATACTCTCTATTTTCCATCCTTTCATCGTGCCCTTTAAAGCCTATTCCGTCAATTTATCCTCCACTAATTGAAGCATTTCTTCCTAAAATAATTAGTGTAAATGAAAATAAGAGTTGAACCAGCTGATGAGTGGTAGAGCTACTTCTTCATCATTGCTTGTTCAAATGGATCTTGCTGAGTTCATCGATTCGTTTCAAGGAAATTAATACAAAGTTTTGCCTCATGTTTCTTTTGGTTATGAAAGGAAGAAATGAAGTGCTGCTTGTCAGTTGTTGATCGTTTCTTAATAATCTTAGATTCGACAAACTGGTCATTGGTTGAAGTCTTTTGATCCATTTCTATTACTGATGTTATTGATTGTGAGAAAATTAGGGTTCTGTCAAGTAAACATTTAAGATATTTGAGTTCAACCTTGAGCGTTACTTCTTTTTAATTCAATCTTCCCGATTTCATTCACCGGCTACTCAACACGACCTTTGCATCATTGCCAGGAATCTCGGAGCAAACTTTTACAGGCAATGGTTTTTCCAAGGCTTTTGTGATAACTGGTCCGCTACTTTGATGCATTGTTGGACCCAAAAAGCAGGGGTTGCTGCATTAGGCTTGAGCTATGCTTGCCGGAAAGCAGTTTTCGCCATGATGAGCATGCCGGAAACAACGAGATTTCCTAGTTAAAGGGTTTCGGGTACTGGAAGGCGCTAAGGTATCAGAACATCATGGAACTTTTTATCTATTCATTGGTTTCAATTTTTACCAAGCTGAAGGTTTTGGTAATATCGAAAATTTGGGGTCACTTTGTCGATACTTCCTGGACAAGGCTCAGATTGCATTAGCCCCTGGATTTGCATTCGGGGACGATAGCTGCATTTCCATATCATATGCAGCATTACTCACCACCTTACAATCTGCCTTTGAGAGAATTACGAAAGCACTCATTTCCCTCGGGCCTGCTGTTCATGTTCACCACAGGGACTATATCA